GCACCGCCTCGCGCTGGGAATGCGCCGGGTATGCGCGCCCGGCGGCCCCGCGGCTCCTCGCAGCTGGGCGCGGGGCGATGGAGCTGAGCATGAAGAAGTTCACGGTGCGCAGGTTCTTCTCCGTCTACCTGCGCAGGAAATCGCGCTCCAAGAGCTCCAGCCTGAGCCGGCTCGAGGTAAAAGCCACCCTCGGGAGCGCGCGGGACGCGGGGTCTCCGTCCGTCTCGAGTGGGCGTGCCCGGCGGCCCCGCGGCTCCTCGCAGCTGGGCGCGGGGCGATGGAGCTGAGCATGAAGAAGTTCACGGTGCGCAGGTTCTTCTCCGTCTACCTGCGCAGGAAATCGCGCTCCAAGAGCTCCAGCCTGAGCCGGCTCGAGGTAAAAGCCACCCTCGGGAGCGCGCGGGACGCGGGGTCTCCGTCCGTCTCGAGTGGGCGTGCGGAGGGCATGGCCCGTCGCCCTCCCACGTCCCGAGCGTGGGCACCCCGGACCCGGGCTGGGCATGCGAAGTTGTTTGAAAGCTGGTCCAGTTTTCGTAAAAACCTACTGAATGGGCTCCAGACGTTGTTGGCACTTCGTAATGCTGCCAAGACAGCGTCCTCGGCGGCGGCTGAAGTCCGCCCCACTGAATTTCTGTCCCGTGCCCCGTGTCCCGTGTACACAGAATTCGGGGTCACTTCCCAGAGGCTGGAGCGGAGGAGGGGTGCGGGCGGTGCAGCTGGGCTGCCTCACGGTGTGGGGCGCTTCAGGGAGGGGGTTTCTCCGAAGTCCCAAGCTCTGGAGCCTTCCCCGCCGGCCCGCGCTGCCTTGGGTCCGTGGATGGTCGGAGTATTTGAAATCCGTGTAGAACTAACAAAAGCGGGGCAGCAAGGCTCGGTGCACTCGGGAGCTCAGTGTGCAGTGCCTGACGCAGTTCCCTGCAGCCTGGGCTTTGAGGTAGCTTAGTCCTGAAAACCCAGAGGACGCTCGAAAATCTTGACCTTTGCAGGTCCCTCCTCTTCTCTGTGGGTTTCCATGATCGTCTGTGGATGGCTCTTTATTGGTAGTTTTCATTTTAACACCCAAACACTGTCCTCATCCCACTGTCCAGACCACATCGATGAATTCGTGGATGGCAAAACGGTCTCATGTTTAAGTGTGCGAGGGAAGGTTGACAGCATGGCCTGTAGAGTTCATGGTCTTCTGTCCAGGCTGACCCAAACGGAGTTTGGGGGGTTTGTTCATTAGGAGCAATGTCACAAGTTTGATCTTGAATTTCCCCGTTCTCATAATGTTAAGCACAGGTGAAGGGTTCTGTGACAACCAAGAGATCTTTAGCAAAGCCCAGGAATAGACTTAAAGTCACCAGGGAATTAACTGTTAAAAAGTTTATGTTGCAGAATGGCCAGCTCAGAATTGAAGGGGCTAGATGTGATCTCAGGGAGTAAAACACCAGTTTTGGACAAATAAAACTATTAATCCGGTAACAGGGAGGGATCTTGCTTTATGCCTAATAATGAGAGAAATTGAGCAAAAGTTCATTTTTCTGGGACTCTGCAAAATTCTGAAGCCAGCAAGAACAGAAATTACAACAGTACTTACCTTTCTACTATGTCTTGTTTTCTGTTTCCCCCAAGGCCTGTTCATTATGCTCCCCTGCACACCGCCCTGCAAGGGAGGCACCCCTACAAACTCTAGGTGTGCAGCGTGCCTGGGGGGTCCTGGGGGGGTCCAGAAGCCTGTGTGCTAGATTCAGCATGGAGAATAGGGCTATGGAAAGACGTTCAAAAATATAGTGGCAGATAAGGTGTGTGTTTGGGGGGGATAGCAGATTTTGTGTGTGTGTGTGTGTGTGTATGTGTGTGTGTGCATGTGTGTGTGCGTGCAAGCATGCGCATGCACATGCTGGGAATGAGCAGACAAGGTATGTGTATGGCATGCTAGAGATTTAGAGATTTCTTTAATGTGAAAATGCAAGTTGTAAAAACCGTACATAAACCTACAGACATGAGGAGGGTCAAAGAGATGAGAAGGGGGCAGGAGAAATACCCCATCAAGTGAAGGCATCTGCCACCAAGCCTGACAACCTGAGTCCAACCCCTAGGGATGCACATGGTGGGAAGAGAGAACCAATTTCCACAGGTTGTCTTCTCACCTCTACACCTTTAGGGCTCCCTGCTAAGTAAATAAACAAACCGTAAAAATTAAAGAATGAGAAAGCTGTGTGTTCTACTAGCACATGAGGAGGCCTCTGTACACATGCCCAGTGCTTCTCCACCACTTGATGTTTGTTCAAACCCATGTAGCATGCTCTGCTATCCTTATTCTATTGCACTGGGGGTAAAACCTCGGGAAATAAAGGGTCTTGTTAAAAGCTTACCCATCATTCTGCAGGTAAGAATTGAGAGCCTGTGCTGGATCCAGGCGGTTTCTGCCAGACAGAAATTCTGGCCTCAGGGTCCTTGCCATCTACTTGGGAACCTCTTAAGCAGCCGGCTCTGTCTGTTACGTTCTGGAATGTTCATATTCCTCCCAGCGTCCTTCCCATTGGTTTGTATATTGGCAACTAGTTACCAGCTAAGAAGTATCCATGGCAAACATGTAAAGCTTCCAGGGAAGGTCCATCAGTGCTTTGAGGAGGACGTGAAATGCTGACCACAGTTGTGTGTCCTCTGTTGGGACAGATGAAAAAGCCCACTGCACAAAAAGAGACAGCTGCCATTGTTTCTGTGGAAACTTAATAAACAGCAAGACTGAGAATGTTTGTTCTTGCAGTTCAAAGTCTGACGACATAAACAGGAATGTACTCGTTGTCACTTTACGTTTAAGGTGGTGTTAGCATTGTTAGAAAGGCTTCTAGTAGAAATTCCACCCGAATAATTTCATATTTGCTTCTGAAGTTAATTTACCTTTGGAGCCAATGTTTGATAAACCTTGAGCTGTAGAGAACAAGTTACTTAATATATGTGGAAGCATTTTGTGAATTACAGCTTAAAATGAAGTTAATTTATATATTTTTGTCATATATTGGCATTGACCCAAGTGATACAAGTGGCCAGGTAGGCCACTCTCACAGAAGTGTTTGGAGACTGCTGAAGGGAAGCTGGGTCCCTTGTGTAGGCTTCATGGGTATGTCCTACAAGGGTATTGGGTCTCAGTGCCCTCAAGACCTTCCAGAAAGTGCTAATTGCAGGGCGCTAGTGATGTGGCCGGAGGGTTACAGTGGCTAGCTGTGACCATTGCCTCATTCCATGGTCGAGTTACACACAGAGACTTAGAGGCTGGGGAGACTCGTGCTCATACAGGAGCAGGTGTATGCCATTGCTGATTTTAGCCATTTCTGGTTGTGTAGCTATGGTGTTTGCCATGTACTGAGGCACAAGGGAGGTTGTTGTAATCTTGAAACAGTAATTACTCTGTGGGCTATTTCAGAATGTGCTCCATAGCCTAATTTTTTTCTCCAAAGCCTCTTCTGGAAGTCAGAAAATTCTAGGTGGGTCTGATCAGGTGCACTCAATTAAATTCACTCTTGCTTTTTCTAGCAAGGCTGCCAACCACCATAAGCCTCTTCTTTCTTCACTGTAAAACAGAAAACATAATATTCCTAATGACTGACTGTGTAGAGAGAAGTTAGAGTCTGGGTGATCGAACTGCTCAACCACTGTTAGCTGTTGATACTGATGAAAATGTTTCCTGGGTTGGTCGGTGGTTTTCATATGGTCCAGCTGGCTGCATGGCTTGTGTTGACCCAATGGTACAAGCCTTTGGGAGTCCAAAGCTCCTGTGTCCTTCCTGCTTACCAAGGGGACAGTCAGCTGTTTCCAGGATAGGATGGCCATATTTGCTCACATGGAGTTCCATCTTTGGCTGGACTGAGATGCTCCTCTTTCCTCCCGTGAGTCAGCTGCACTCACAGACACATTACCAATGAGGGCTGCCTCGCCCTGAGCTAGGGTTGCTTTCAGAGCATAAAAGTGTTCAGTGTTCACTTCTCAACCTAGAGAATTGAGCAGGAAGATCCCCTTCAGCTTTTTCATCACCAGGAAAGACCCCAAAGGTATGATGTACAGGCTTCTATTAATAAGACAGTGAAGGCTTTTAATTAATTTAAAATTGTGTTATTTACTAAAGATAGGACTGGCTAAAGGAATCGATATACAAAGTCAGTTTATTTAGGGACTAGTGTGTTCTTTTGGGTTACCAAAGCCAGAAAGTTCTCTGATCTATTATTTGGGTCATGTCACCAAAAACTGACATTCCTACCGGCAAATAGTTGGTGAGGAGCAAGGAGAACATGATGGAATCTTGGTGGTGCTGAGCTCCTGAGTATTGGGATTTCATTTTCTTTATTTTCCCCATTGTTCATAGCATGTGCCACATGCACTGCACAAGCATTGTGGTGTGAAAGTGCCTTGAATGAACTTCACATCAAGAAATACAGGGAAACCAATGAGTAGAAGCTGCTCTCTGGGTGAATGTCTTGTGAAACTCTTGATGTCATTGGATTTAAGCCATCTACTTAGATTAGTTGCTGATTTATTTGTTTCCCATGGTCACAGATAATGAAAAGTTGTATGTGTTTTTATATTATTGTATCGTTTTACATTTTGTGGATTTACTTATCTTTATGTGTATAAGTGTTTTGATTTCTTGTGTATAAGTGCATCATGTGCATGCAATGCTCATGGATGTCAGAAGAGGAGGTCAGATCCCCTGGAACTGGAGTTAAATGGGTTCTGGGAACCAAACCTGGGTCCTCTGCAAGAGAAGCCAGTGCTCTTAACTGCTGAGCCATCTTTCCAGACCCATATGAATATATCTTAATGGCTCATCTCAAAGAAAAACATGGTGTCCTAATCACATAAATATTAGGGACTTATGATAAATGTGTATGCGGGGGAGGGGGGCGTTGGCTCTAGTCATGGGTAGAAAGAACAGTTCTTATTCTTGGTGCTCAATAGGTAAGCATTCCTAGATTGAGGTAGTTTCCAGGAAAAAAAACATTTCTGATTAAAATTTTCAGGTACTCTCAATAAATTCATCCAAAGAGATTCTGTTAATCCTTGTCTTATTAGTTTTTTGACAACCAAAAAGCCAATTTAAGAGAAAAAGACCACAAATAAAAATAGACCATATCAGTAAAGAAGTTTGCTCATTTACCCTTTTTTTCTAGACACTCAAGTTTGTTCCTTTCTTGCAGTCGCTGTGTCTGGGATATTGCCTTATCTTTGCAATTTTATTGCATACTTTATTTCTTTACATCCAAGAAGTTTATCAAAGTACTTTTACTTACTCAGACGTGTATGGAAGAACAACCAAAACTACTGAGGCTTTCTTTCCGGCCCCCATGACCATCTCCCACAGGGCTGTGAACGGCCTCCTTCACTTGTCCAGCTCAG